GTTTGGATCGGATCGGGGAAATTTTGCGCATGTAAACGTAGCTACTCTAGTTTCCTTGGACTAGTTTCTAGGTCCTTGCAATATAGAATCCATTTTGAGCCCTTCCAATGTCCACTTTAAACTTCCATCTGTATTAACCAAATTCTCCATGTTTCCCTAATTAAACCTGTACTTTACAGCCACTGTAAACTATTCTATATATTACCAGTATACCTAAACAGTTGCTCTTGTTGCAAGAAATAGCGCAGGCTTGCAAGACTTTCTCAGCTTGTCCTCCATCAGTTCCTTTATTGCGAAGGTCCAGCAGAATTAGATGGTTGTCAGAACCACCTGTACAGGAAGAAACAGAGAACATAAAGAGATAAAGCAGACACATGCTTCAGCCACCAACTCATCTAACAGAAATGACTCACAATAATAGCATTGTTAATAGCGCTGTGTAAACCAGAGGTACCCAAGTCCTGTCCTCAATAGCTACTGTCATACAAGCTTTAGTTGCTTCCCTTCTGCAACATGCCTGAATCAATGAATTACTTGTTACCAAGCCTGTGCAGAGCTGAGGGACATCCTAATTAGGGAATTCAGACATTTGATTTGGATGCATAGATGAAGGGAAACATCTAAAAGTGAAAGGAAAAAACCTCTAGAAGATTGGAGAACTTTTGTAAAACCTTTTCTTTCATATTTTTTCATTGAGCCTGATATATGTTACATGTGTGACACCTACCAGTGACGATCTGGTAACCAAGGTCAATAAGGGCGCTGCTTAGAGCTTGACAGTTGGCAAGAACCTGCTGCTGGTAAGCCTTAAACTCTGGGGTCATGGCTTGATTGAGAGCCACAGCAACACCTGCCATGAACAATAACTCAGTGACAATGATGTGGGCATAGATCTGAAGATCCCAAGATGAATACCAAATTTATTATAGTAATGGTACCTGCAATAGCATTGTTATGAGGTCCTCCTTGAAGCCCCGGAAAGACGGCCTGGTTGATCAAAAACTCCAGGTTGTACAGAGTCTCCTTTCCTTTGGAGTCCACGCTCCGTGTACCTTATAGAGAAAAGGGAGAGACCATTAGGAAACCAGAATAAAGCTTTCAGAGGGAGCATAGTCAGAGAGGTACCATGGCAGTACTATGTGTGCATTAGATATACTAGAAAAGTTTCATTGTTTATTCCTACCTTTCCGATAAAAGATAAGTCCACCACGGCAGCCTCTTAAACTTTTGTGAGTTGTAGTTGTAACAAGGTCACAGTGTTCAAAGGGTGAGGGCACCACTCCAGCAGCCACTAATCCTCCAATATGAGCCATGTCCCCCATCAGATATGCACCATTCTCATCAGCAATCTGCCTCAGGCGGGCGTAGTCTAAGTTTCTGGAATAGCAAGTTGTTCCTTATAATATGGAACAAAAAAAAGGGTTATTTCCATTTATTAGCACGACAGCGGGTTTAAACTTTGCATATGAACAGCAAAGAACCTGCAATAATGAGATGGGGGTGGAAAAGTTGTGCATTTTCTTGTAGCTTGTCATAATCAATGTAGCCAGTTTCTGGATTCACCTAAAAGACAATTAAAGAAACCCTCCAGCTTTGGACACATGAATTATGTGCTTATTATTTGGATATCATGAACATATAACTGGTAATTCCTCAAACAACAATATAGTTTCCAATGGTCTTTGTGTTTTATTTCAGTGCTGGAAAATCTAACTTTTAAATATACAGACACGCATATAAGTCTTTTTCCTTATTTAGCAAAGTAGATACAGCTATGGTAGATAATTGTAGCCATACT